AAAGGCTCTGTCGTAAAGCTATCCTATCCAAAGTATACCACTCCTCTCGATCTATGTGATTTCTATAATCCATCTGGTGTATAAGGGCGACAGTTTCCTAATACCTCGGTTACATAGAAATCTTAAGGCGCTGCGTCCGGCGATTTGACTTGTATGTTTCCGTACTAGCATGATTAACAGTTTCATTCTCCAGCTGTATGAGGTATGCGATTGTTGAAAGTATATGCTGTAGAAGTAGCTTGTGTCGCTTTTCCAGACAGATATTCTTATTTATGTTGCACACTTTTGCCTGGGGCACGTAGAAAGCTTTCGCAATTAACCTTTTTCTATTTTCTTGGATTCTCCTCTGTTACAATACACTGCATCTTTCTGGATTGTCCTGGTCCTCCAAGTTGATCCATATTTTTTGTTTTTCAATGCCATCAAGTATAACGGATATTTCCATCTAGGAAATTCTATGTCCCCCATCTGAACATGTCTTTATGATATTAATTTAAGAATATTTTACGTCAGAAAGAGCTGCGACCCATTCTTCCCAAGAGCGATCAGTGCTACCTACAATGCACCAAGTAATGCCAAAATGGAGTACTGATACAATTCGGTGTCATCACACTCTCTATGAAACACCAAATGAAGTAAAAATGTACTTCAGATGCATACCATTCCACCGCTACTTATATCAGCTACAGTTGACACGTGACTTGTTAATTTGGATATTCAAAATCGTTTTAATATAAAGTACCCACGATCACTGAGTGAAGATCATTGATCAGTACTTGGCGCTATAACTTCTCGTTGTCTCAAAGATTTTATCTTTTTCTTGTTTGGAAATGCTTTGAGACTGATGCTGAACTTCCCGAGTCACATATTTTTATCCTTAGTTAGTCCACTGAATAATACATTTTGATAATCATTAAGGATATCAAGAAGAGTATTTTGTATCTATTTTCAAGTCCTTCGCAATTCGTATTGGTAAGAGGATAGACACTGTTCATTTGAAGGTTCGACTTCAGTGCACTGATAGAAGGTTTTTATTTCCTCCATGGTCGTCTTTTCGCTAAAGTGCACACTGCTCCTTGCTCTTGATTGAATGATTTACATTTCTTCCACTGATAACTCTCAGTGTTATGTTAATGTCTCAAGGTATAAGTAACTCACTTCCAGCTGTGTCAGATGAGTGGCCACAAATTGTTAACCTCCACATGTGTAAACTGATGTACAGTTCACTTGGATATCTTCATTGCCTAAAAGGAAATTTCTAATGATAATCTAAACAAACAGCATATCGTTCATCTAGTCTATCCCCCCCCCCATATATTCTTATTTCATTTCCATAACTCATTCACTTTGTGTCCCAAATATTTTCTAATAACAATTAATACTTATTTTTCCTCTTGGCATTTTACTTTCATTTTACTTTCCTTCGGAAAGCGTTTCCATCTTTGAAGATGATGCCTAGACAAACAGCAGTTCTTAGAAATCTAGTGCCACTCAAAATCTAACAAATGTTCTATTTTAAGGGTTTCATTAACTGAACACGGTTCTTTCAACAACCAAGAACGTTTTATTCAAAATAGGCTAACTCGTTTAAATAATGATAAGTTTCACTTACTTCAAATTTGCTAGTTGAATCTTTAGCAAACAATCTTGCGTTTTCACACTTGAAACACTTTTCAGTTTTGGCTGAAATATCCTGAGAAATTCACATTATATTTGCTGAGTTATTTCCTTCTAAGTTATCTAAATGTTCTCTCGACTCAAACTGATTCCATCCTAAAGCTAATGATTATTTCATTTTGAGTATGTGTTCTGAGCTGTCTATCTTCAACATGGTTAGATTGTACTTCCATTACCCGTTAAATATCTTCTCTGAAAGTAGCACATCGCTATTTCATTTGGAATGGCATTGATGAATTCGTCAAGTATCAATGAAGGCAGGGTTTCTTGGGACACTTCTGGATAGGACAAATAGAAAGGCATTTGATATTCTTAGCGATATTTGATATTTCCTCCTTCTTCTTCAGTGTACTCTTGAGCTTCTTTTAATCATACATTTTAACACAGTGTCTAGTAATTATTCCAGTATTTCTATTTTACATTATTTTGTGTTGGTAAGGATGAATCTTTCAGGTAAACAGTAAGGTGTAAAGTCCATTGTTTATTAGCCATCCATTCTTTAAAACATTGGGCCTAACAAGGCAAAATGACTTTGGAAGTACTGTGACTCTAGAGAGGACTATATCATTTTTGGTGTGGTATAGGTATTTTAAATGTATACAAAGACGTGTGCCTTGACAAACTCCATGTACAAAGAAAGTTACTTCGCTAGTTCTACAAGTAGTTCAATCTATTTTTCAGAATTTCATCTGGCTTCCAATATGTATTAACATTGTCGAAACGTGTTCATTCACATCTGTTCATTCCATGAATACCTAATCATCCACTTTAGTTGTGTTTTAGCAACCTTGTCATCTACATTTGTTTAAACTATGTAAATCTTGTAATAAGGTATATCTTGCTTATCTGTTAATCTGATATCATGAAACTCTTCACAGTTCTTTACATTAACTAACTCAGTTGCATCTGAGTCATGAGTATCTATCTCATCCACAGCCTTCTGCGTATTTGTGTTAATTTCCTTTTGCGTACTTGACTATTCTTGTTCTAATTGATAATCACTATTTTTGACAGCTTCCTCAATTCTCCTGTTTGTTGTAATTTCATTATTGAATCCTGTTTTTCCAGTTTTAGGCATGTTTTTTCTCAAATATCTTCGCATCCATAATTGGACATTTCTAAACTGTCCTTATCTATTTATTAATATATAGCTGATTCTTATGGTTACAGTTCAACATCTGAATCTTACCTAAAGTGAATCATTCCACTGCAATTATTAGGAAGGTTCAAAATACCTTGGTGTAATCCATTTACAATGACAGTATTTCTTCCCTCCCAACTAGGCGTTTTTGAGGTTCATTAGCTTATCCTTCCCTAGAGAACTTCAAAAACATGTAGAATGACCTATATCACTATGGACTTCTTTGGTACATCATCAAGATTAATGTTTCCGAAATATTCCGAAATATTGAAAATGATCAATGCTTTTCAAAGCTTTTTACGTGTATAGACATATAATTTGTAAGGACTTCAACAATTTCAGAATAGCTTACATTTTTAAAAGGTTTTGAGACACATAGACTATTGCTGTTCTAAGGACTTCAAAAGTTCAAGAATGTCCACATCACTAAGAGTATCTAAAATACATGTGTTTATATGACGTCTGTGACTTCAGAAATATGGAAAATGATTCCATCACAAAAGATACAGAAATACTTAGAGCAGGCCTCGACAAATACTTTCAGATCTAGGAGTCAGCCTCAAACTCAGGAGCCAGATGTGCCTAACCTAATTTCACCACTGTTTGTACCAGGAAATGAAGGCTGCACTAGTGCCTCGATTATCCGCGGTTTTTTCTTTTCCCCAGATTTTCTCAAACTTATTGTGCCATTACAATTCTAGAATATAATTTACATGTTTTGAAGAAATTGTCGTTCAGAAAGTAATTTTGGTTGCAAAAGTTGTTGCATGATATCGGCCGGTTCAAACCTACCCTCGCCTCTTTTATTTTTAGCTGTTAAGACAGGAATACAAAATATTTGTAGCTTGGTTAACTTTATTTGATTGGTGATTAAACACATAGTATACAAATCATAAAAAATACACATTACGATATGTTACAGATTTCACTCAACTTCAGATGTCGTCCCGCTCTTCTATGGTGCACGGCGGGCGTTCTTTAACCACAGATGCATGTTCAGGTTGTGTTGGAGTGCCGCCCAGTTACACATTGTCCTCTTCTCTAAAGATAATTGGTATCTCTAGTCTGTTTTAACAAAGGCTTTACCGTACTAATTCTCAAGCTTAGCTTTGCGCTAATTTTTGACTTGTTTTTCATAGGCGTTGATAGGGTGCAAATGCCCTTCCGTGTTTATAGCAGAAAAAGTGTCGAAATTTAGGAGCTATTTACGCATATTTCAGAGATTAGATTCAATTAAAACGAGAACGGGCAATCATAAGAAGAAGTGTTATAGAAGAAAAAGTGTAATTGGACTCGTGTAACTCAAAAAATTCGTAGAAATCGACTAACTGCCCGACCGACACTTGGCTTTTATGATTATGATTGTGACGATTTTTATAATTTTTCATAATAACGCTATTAAACGACTGTAAAAAAATTATAATTCAAAACAAGGAACTTAAATATATTGAAAAATGTTATTTAGATTAAACAATGGGCTAACTCATGAGATACACTAGTGCGTCGATTATCAGCAATTTTTTGCTTTCTTCGGACCAGCGCTGATAATCAGTGTATATATTCATTTATTTTCACAGCAACGAGTGCATGCTAACGATCACATGATATCAACAGCTACTTGATAGTATTGCGTGAACTAACTGCCTTTGGTCCCGTCTGAGTCTAAACACGCGCAATGATTGGTCGAACTGAGAGAAAGAAAAAAAAACAAAATAGCGCGAAAGTGGTAATGTGTTGTGCAACTGCAGAGCTTAATTCCTGAAAAAAAACATTATTAAGTGCTGAATCCGCCATTAAAATCCCAAAACAAAGTTCGATTTAGGACTCAAAGAACGCGAAAATAGTTCCGGACTTCCAAGAGTCCAGAACTGTTCTAGATTCGAGTTTTATTTAGTACAGTCCTATGTACGAATAAAATGGGAAAAAATAGTAGGTACCACGAAGAAATTTCTAGTTGCCATGGTGACCTGGCGCCTGGGATTTGTCGAGGCCTGACTTAAAGGAATATTTTCTTAAAGTGTTTTAGATAAGATCCATGCGCACGCGGTGAACCGAAACTTCCCAGAAAATGACATGTTAAAATACAAAGGTATATACAATTTTCGATTATATTATATGAAGAATGGTATTATTTATATATTGTTCAAATTCTGATTCTTTTCTTCCTTCTTTGTTCTTACAGCGACCTCCTTCCCAGACTCTAAATTCTTACAGTGGCGTTCCGGATGATGTCAGGTCGCCAGCTGGATCCACACCAGGGCCCTTCTCCCATCAGCCCAGCTCTCAACAGAGCACAGACAACAACAGTGAAGCTGGTAAGATTGTATTTACAGTGTGTCCTGTTTTTGTTTGTAGTGCGGTGCATTGTATCTATAAAATCCCTGTAGTAATTGTCTCTTTTGTGATTTTGATTATGAAACATCATTGAGAAAAGATATCTAGACATTGAATTTGTGGTTCTGTTATGGCTAAAACTGAGGTAAAAATAATGAATATTTTCATAGTGATAACAACTGTAATAATATTAAGCACTTTGTAATAGTGATGATAAACACTGATGAAGTCAAAGGAATTCCAGAGAAGGTGGACTTTTTCAATATGTTGACAATGTAAAGATAGAGTACTTTAAACGTAGTTTGCTAAACTGGTCTAAGGCAATATAGCATTTAAATTTTTATTATTATCAAACAAATAGATCTGACGTAGATTTAGTATCCATTCTCATCTCAATAAATATAATACAATTTGAAAGTGTGGAACTGACATTGCAGTAAATGTTAAACTTATTACTGTAATAATTGTTGTGAAATATTTCACAGTAATTTGATATATGAATAAAATAGTAATATATGAGATGTAATGTAACTAAGTCTGAAGTAAACCTTTAAGAGTATATATATAACACGCCGAACGTTAGGAAAGCAAAGAGAATAATTAAATCTAGTATTTATGATCAAATTTAGCGTTATTGAAGCTTTTTCACATTGTTGTCAATTATTCCAGTACATGTTTCAAATCAGTTATGTGTAAAAAACCATTTCACGCCTGCCTTTCGTCTGCTGAAGTCACTGCCCAGGAAGACGTTTTTTCAATGCCACAGTTCATCAGTTGTAGACTTTAGTCGAAAGTCTAATTGAAATGGTTTTTGAATATATATATATATATATATAATCACATAGAATTTGATATATTTGTCTAAAGCTCCTAATACGCATATAATGGCGAGTTCCAACCATTTATAACATAATTCTTTATTTCAACTTTAAATATTCTCGACCAATTATCCGTAGAATATTAAGTCAAACAAATGAACAAAATTTCAGACAAATGACCGTATGGAAAAATAAGGATAAATTTTATTTTTAAACGTTCTATAAAAATACTTAAATTACATATTGTATTGTACTGAACTTTGTAATAATTATGATATTTGAGGAAAGCTAATGTTGTTTTATCTGCGCTGGCTGGTCAGAGAAATCATTATAATTGTTCGCATATTTTGATAATCTGATATTATACATCTTTTTGTATTCTATTTTTTATCTTACTATAAGCCCTCCAAACTATCTCCAAGGTAGTTTCCGACAGTATGGACGTTCTTTAGTGCGTACTAATGTGTGAAAATATATATATATTTTCTCTATCGTGGAGGCCACTCTATGTTTTACAATAACATACAATGTAAAAACAGCGTAAGAATCGTAAGTTGAAAACTATTGATGGTAATGGTTTCTCAGTTATATATTGTTCCAGTATATTCCATTTTGTACATTCTAGATTCAGATTTTGAAATAGGTATTTTCGCTAAGAGGACTTAAAACTCATTTGTAAAGCTTCATAAATCTTTTAGCACATCAGCTCATTTTGTTAAGTAGAACCAGAAGAGTGTGAATTGTGGAACATATAATTATAAAAAAGGATGGTATTTCTTTGCAGTAAACTGAAGGGAAAATAATCTAGATGAAGTTTCTCACTTTGTTAGATGTATTTTCCTTATTCTTTTAACATAGCTTTGTTACTCACGTATTCATTATTACATGTTCAATTACTGGCTTTAAGTGGACAATAGGACTCTTTAAGTGGGCTATGGCAAATAGGTGTTCGGCTATTCTATGGCTCTTTATTTTGACCTATTCTATTTAGGGGCGTCTTCCAGCTAAAGCTTTCAACGTAATCCAATCTAGTGTGTGCATATATTTGCAAGGCAGATCAAAGGACTATACCATGGAGCACCGAACAAACAGCAGGGCCAGCAAGGGAAACGGAGGAACATGTGGTGTTAGGGGGCGAGATCATACATTATATGGGACACGTCCACTTGAAACACGTGCTGTAATCAGCTTGGCATGTTTCACTGGGTAACAGACAGGAAGTCGTGTTAGGAAGTTAGTTTGGATCTAATGGCAAGAAACTGGAAGTTGAATAAATCGAATAATAAAAAAAAGAGCTAAAAAAAAGCTCAAGTTCTTATGCCGAGAAATTGACATTCAGTCTTGTAGTAAATCCACTATATTTCATGAATCTAAACAATTATTCTCCATATATATATTTACATGTATCTATAAAAAGGTTCCAACTGACAACTTTAACTACCAGCAACGTGTGTGTATATATATATACTTACGGCAAAGACAAAACTTTTGATAAGATAACTAAGTTGGAAATTCGAAATTGAATATTTCCTATAAAATAAGTGAAAAAAACGTAAGAATTTACCCTCAGCAAGTCATTAATTTCTTATTCTTCTGAATAGTGAAGTTATAGTCACCCTATAATAACTATTCTTCTTTCTAAGGGGCTGAAAGTTCGACAAGATAATATATTTGAAACTTTGAAATTGAAAATTATCCATCCAAAAAAAAAAGAGGTACTTAAACATTTATGAATTTACTCATCAATTTTCTTACCCTTCTAAAAAATAGATTTAGTTATGCCTTAACAACTAACCATCCATCTTTTCAAAGGACAAATATATATTTTAAAACCAACTCTTTGAGAAAAATGGGGGTAAAAAGGTAAGATAATATCGTAACTCTAAATCATATTTGCATGGAGTTATTTGTATCAGTTACCCGGAGTACAGTTTACGGACGTCAAACAACTTGCCTTGATATTTACAAAAAACAGTTTTCCTATATTCTTAACACTTATCTGTTACATTAACCTTTTAAGTTTAATTTTTTTTACATTATAAATGGATTGGTACCGTTCATATGAAATACGTTTTTGTTGGATTGTATTTTTACGTAACCTCTGTAAGTTTCCTGCCTAGAATAATAAAAAAACGTGAATAATTATACAAGTACACTGAAAATTAAACGCCTATACGTGAGGAACTATGAGTACTACATTACTTGTATTAGACAGATAATTTTTTAAAGTGGAGGGTAGAAGTACATAAAAAATTCCCCTTTTCTGATGTTGGAAAATCTCTGCCTTGTCTGTTTTTCCAGAAATTTAACCAAGGCCGTTTCTCAATTAGAAGTTTATAAAATAAGATTGATCGAAACGTTGTATAAATTGTACAATCCGTATAGAGACTTGCAAAAGTAGCTTTACTCGTTCATTAGACATAACGTAATATCTCTACAGAATTGATATATTGTCAAATGTTTGAAAACTAGTCTTCCA